AACCAGCCAGCAACTGGAACAACGGGTGCCGTACTTCTTGTACCTGGAGATGGGAGTGTGGGAGTAGGGTGTAAGAAACCACCATTTAGGATGCAGCGGGGAGCCAGAAACCACCAGGAGGAAACCATTTTCCTCAAAAGGTGGCTGTTTTTCTTTCCCCAGTTCCCACACTAGCTGAGGCCAGTTTGATGGCCCCACCCACCCGACGCCTCTGGGTTGAGGACCTGATGCCACAGGCATTGCAGAGAGGAGTCCCGTCTTCAGCATCTCTCCAGAGTGGGGTCCTCTGAGTCCTACACGAAGCACAGCGCCGAGGCCCTGGAGAGTCAGAAGTCAAAAGGCACAGGTCAAAGGCCAGAAGTCAATTACAGAGGCCTGGGGGGGAGGGGAGAGAAGTCCAGGGGATGGTCTCTGTTCAGGCTTCAGTAGCTCAGGGTCTGTCTTGGGTATTGGCAGATAGAGACGGGGAGAGCTGGGCACTGGGACAGATGGTGAGTCAGATGGTGAGTCTCTGCTGAGAAGGAAGCTGGGGGTGGGGGTGACTCAGTCTGGGCGGGGCTCCTCTGAGCAGGTCTAAATGAGGAATTGGGATGAAGAAGGGGGCATGGAGAAAGACAGAGGATGTGAAAATGGCACCCTCAAGATATTCCTAGCTCACGTGTCTTTAATATCTCACCGAGGGCCTCGTTGCCTCCTGGACTGACAAGGGCCTTGGAAGGGCTTGCAGGGAGCCTTTGTAAACAACTTCTGCCCGGCAAGCTGCAAAAAGGACAAGACGTGGCATTGGGGGGTCTGGAAGGTGGTCCCCAAAATGATTACTTCCCCAGCCTCACAAGCCCAAGCAAATGTCACCATTGACTGTTTCTAGCCTTCTCTGCCTTCTTTTAAAATCAAAGAGTTTTATATACTTATTTATAGATATATTAAATCATAATAAAATAAATTTAAAAGTAAAGTAACATTGTCACAGGAAAAATAAAAATTAACTAATTTTCTCTTTTTTTTTTTTTTTTCTCCAAGACAGGGTTTCTCTGTATAACTGACCTGGCTGTCCTGGAACTCACAGAGATCCACCTGCCTCTGCCTCCCGAGTGCAGGGATTAAAGGCATGTGCCATCACCACCCGGCCTCTCTCTACTTTTGAGACAAGGTCTTAGTAGGCTGCCCTGCGTCCGCCTCCAGTGCGGCTTTGACAGCAGACCGCACGGTCTCTTGATTTTCTTGCTGTTAAAACAGGGTCTCCCGGACTGGAGAGATGGCTCAGAGGTTAAGAGCACTGGCTGCTCTTCCAGAGGTCCTGAGTTCAATTCCCAGCAACCACATGGTGGCTCACAACCATCAACCATCAATAGTGAGATCTGGTGCCCTCTTCTGACACACAGGCATACTGTATACATAATAAAAAAAAAAAAAAAAAAAAAACAAAAACAAAAACAAAAAAAAACAAAAAAAAAACCAGGGTCTCCCCATGGGAGGCCTTGCCTTCTTGTGGGGGGGAGTGGGGGGTGGGCTGGGGGGAGGCTGCGGGGGCAGGAGGAGGGAAGAGGGGGATCTTTGGTTGGTCTCTCTCTATAGCCAAGGCTGGCCTCCTGAGGACTGGGGTTGCAGGTGTGTGGCATCAGGCCTGGCTGGAGAGAAAGGCCTCTCGTGTACCCCGGGGTTCTGTGCATGATAGGCAAGCACTCTACCCACTGAGCCACAGCCCCAAACTCAGATTCATTATCAAGTTAACAGGCACCCCTGGGGAGGTGTCTGATGTCAGAGTCTAGGCTTTGGATTCCACTAGCAGCAATCAAATAATTAATACTGTACTAGTCAGGTATGTTACGTTCCTGTAATTCCAGTCTCAAGGGGCTGAGGGTGCAGGATGGTGGAATTCTGTGCCAGCCTAGTCTATATGAGATCTTGTCTCAAAAATTAAAGGGAAAAAAAAAAACAAGTAATTGAATAAAAATTAGCTGGATGTGGTGGTGCACACAGATAGTCCCAGCTCTACAGTAGTGGCTGCAGGATTAGAAGTTCAAGGCCAGCCTGGGCTATGTGAAATCAGAAATGAAAACAGAATCCCACAGGGCCTTTGAAGGAACTCCGTAGGTAAAGGGACTTGCTGCCCAGCCTGTAACCTGTTTGAACCTTGGAACACACACAATGGCGAGAACCCATTCCTGCAAGTTGTCTTCCGACTTACACACACACACACACACACACACACACACACACACACACACACACACACACACGGGTCATGGCACATGTGTACCCTTTAAATAAATAAATATAATAAAAATAAAATTTTTGCATGAGAATGTGTGTGTAGGTTCTAAGCAAGCACAAACAATAAGCCTTTTTTAGTTCTTTTTTTTTTTTTCCTTCGAGACAGGGTTTCTCTGTGTAGTTTTGGTGCCTGTCCTGGATCTCGCTCTGTAGACCAGGCTGGCCTTGAACTCACAGAGATCCACCTGGCTCTGCCTCCCGAGTGCTGGGATTAAAGGCATGCGCTACCACCACCTGACGCCTTTTTTAGTCTTTATTACGTGTGTGTGTGTATTTACGTACCACAGTGTATGTCAGTGTGTATGTGAATGGAGGTCAGAGGACAACTTTTGGGGGTCAGCTCTCTTCTTCCACATTGGTCCTAGGGATGGAACTCAGGCTTGGTTACAGGCCTCTTTACCCACGGAGCCATCTACTAGCCTGGATCTGTGTATTTTTTAAGCTGGGTCATTAGCCCAGGCTAGCCAGCTTCCAACTCAAGATCCTCTGACTTCCGCATCTTGGGTGCTAGGATTACACACTTGTCCGTTTGGGGTGTGTTTTTGTTTTTAAGTGGTTTTGTTTGTTTGTTTTTCCAGACAGGGTTTTCTGTGGAGCCCAGGCTGTCCTGGAACTCTCTTTATAGACCAGGTTGGCCTAAAACTCAGAGATCTGTCTGCCTCTGCCTCCCGAGTGTTGGGATTAAAGGTTATTTTTAATTTTTTTTTCTTTATTTACTTGAGGCTTGCTTACATGAGTTACATGCACCAAATGTGGGCAGGAGCCCAGGGAGGCAGAGTCCACTAGAACAGGAGCTGCATGCAGCTGTGAGCCGTAAAGGGGGTGCTAGGGATGAACCGAGGTCCACCATCTGCAAGAGCAGTCAGCACTCTTAATTGCTGGGCTCTCTCTCCAGGCCCAAGGTGTTGTGTTTTGTTTTCTGAGCCAGGGTCTAGCTCTGTAGCCAGGCTTGTTTCAAATGTGCTTCCCTTCTTTCCCTACATGCCCCTTTATACATGGCTCCCAGCCCTTCTCATTCTGTCTGGAGACAGTCTCATTAAATTGCACAAGCTGACCTTGAACTCACTCTGTAGCTCAGGTTGGCTTTGAACTTTCCATGTCCTTCCTCAGTCTCCCAAGTAGCTTAGATGACTGGCCTCTACTACCAGCCCTGGCCTGTAAGTGTACTGTTATTATCCTTAGGCATACATTATGGCCGAGAGTCCCTACCTGTAGGTGGGTACAATCTGGAGGCTAGAGTCCGGCTGTATCTGAAACTCCAGAGTCACCCCCTTGAACCTGGGGTCCACTTTCTCAATACCCATTCGGGGGTTCAGCTGCTTCCGTGGTCTTCTCTGGAGTGAGGCCGGGGAAGCAACGCTGGAAGGTTCCGGGTTGGGGCATTGTGTGCTCTTGGGATTTCTGACCGTATTTAGGGGGTCTGACATCCCTATGACCATCAGCTCCCAGCACGGCCCCAGGGCCTGGGTGGCCGGCGAAGGGGACCCCGGTGGCCCGTTTTCTTTCTCTTGGAGGTAAGGCAATGCTGTGCTGACTGAGTTCTGGCACGAAGGCCACAGGGACCTGGGGGATAAGAAGCGGTAAGGCGTGGCCGCCCCTTTCCTGGGGGCTTGGATTTGATAGGTATGGAGTGGGTGGAGCGCCCAGCTGGGGCCTCTCCTTTGGTAACTGTGTGCTCCACCTGGAGCCACAATCTTGGGTTATTAGGTTTAAAAGTTGCAAAATAATTGTTAGCAGAGACTGAATACCCCCGTGGCTGGCTATCAGCTACCATCAGCCACCCCCCATCACTAACAAAGCAGGGACCCCCCACCACTAACAAAGCAGGGACCCACCCTAGGTAATCGGCTCAATGCAGGCTGCTGTCGGTAGCAACCATTAATCATCCATCGACTGTTGTAGGAGGTTACCCTCATCACCCCACGGATGACTCTTCATTGGCACCTCCTGGGGTCACACAGCCACAGCAGGGTGGGTGGGATGGAAATCACCTGTCCCTCTCTCTATCTAGGGGCTAAAACTTGTTCCGTGCCAGTAACTAAGGGCGGGAGGAGGCTCGGAAGCCGGGGATCATGACCCCTCAATCTCTGGGCCTGATGAGGCACTAGTTGGGATGGGCGGTGGAGGAGTCTCGCCCCACGCACCTGCCATTGGGAGTGAGGCATCTCAGGGCTCCAGGCTCCCGCGCGGGGGGGTCGGCCCTTACGGAGCGACTCGGTGTCCAGACAAGGTGGCGCCAGAAGTTGCTGCCGGCGGCGCGTCAGGTCACGGGCTGGTGCCGCCTCCATGCCCACTGTGGGACCAGCAGCAAAATCTCTCTGCCCCGCTCCCCCTAGGGATAAACCCGAGTATGAGGGGGGGTGATGACGATGGGCGCCACCTGGGCGGAGCCGGCCGGCGCAGGTCACGTGGGGGCGCTGTTTGCACCTGGGAGCACTTTTTGCAGTGGCTGCTAGGAGCCTCAGCTGTGTGGCTGGTGATCAGGAAGGTCCCCCTCTTTGCTATCTTCTGATCACTTAGCACCGCCTTGAAGGTCAAGGGGCGCTGTGGATCCCTTCTCTGCGGCTGGGGCGGAGCCTGGCCACGCAGGCGCATCCCCAGGAAGAACGATATCGCGGGTGCTGTCGGGGGGTGGGGGGGGGTGGGGTGGGGTGCAGGCACCCCCAGGGCCCCTGCACTCGTGGCTGGACAGACCAGGCCCCCAAAGACACAAAACATGCCGCAGATGTGTATGACTTTTTATTGCAGCTCTGGTTTGAGTCCATCCCTAATTTATAGTTCGATTCTCCCTGGTGGACTGACACACCCAAGATGGAGACCCATTCCCCCTCAGGGCCCAGACAATGGCTGTCCCCAGAAGCGGCTCTGGTCTCACACTGTGCTTCCAACTTCTCTTTCCCTGCCAGTCCGTGCTCTGGGGCCGGAAGCATGGCTTTTCAGTTCAGTGGCCCTGCTTGGTCCTGTGGCCTCATCTCAGTGAGGCTTGGGGATGTGGCCATCCACGTAGAAGTTCCTGGTGACCTTGGGAAGAGCAAACTCCACTCCTTCCAGCTCAGGGGTCAGCACAATCTGGCAGCCCAGTCTCGAGTTCTCCTGGAGCAGTGGGGCCATGTCCAACATGTCGTCCTCCCTGGGACAAAGGGCAGTGGTCAGGATGGTGTGGAACCTAAGGTAGCTGGAGTCAGATGCCTGCAGTGTAGCTGGGGGCTGCCCACTCACCTCTCCTCAGGAGGAGGCAGGAGATCCAGGTGAGCATCACTCACATACACATGGCAGGTGGAACATGCCAGGGAGGCTTCGCAGGCCCCTGGGGACAGGGAGGGAAAGGGATAGCCTTAATGAGGAGTAAGCTCCACCTCAGCTCCCCAGCCCCACCCTTCTCAGAGCTGAGAAGATTTCTAAGTGGTCTGTAGGCTTGCTTGTTTGAGCTGTCTCATGTAGCCCAGGCTAGCCTTAAACTCACTATGTAGCCAAGGATGGCCTGAAACTGGCTCTCCTGCCACCACCTCCCAAGTGGTGCAATGACAGTTGTGAACCATTGTGTCACACTGACTCTCACCACCTCAGGCTCGGCACTTCTGTACCAGGGCCTAGCATGTTCTCTACCCTGCATGGCTGCATTCATTCAAGGCTTCAAGTGTTTTTCAATCCCCACTTGCCTTCACTTTCTTGTGGCATTTATCACCATGAAACTTTAAAAAACCCTTTCTAAGCCGGGGTGATGTCTTTAATTCCAGCACCTGTCTTGAAAAACCAAACCAAGCCGGGCGGTGGTGGCGCACGCCTTTAATCCCAGCACTCGGGAGGCAGAGGCAGGCGGATCTCTGTGAGTTCGAGGCCAGCCTGGTCTCCAAAGCAAGTTCCAGGAAAGGTGCAAAGCTACACAGAGAAACCCTGTCTTGAAAAACCAAAAAACCAAACCAAACCAACCAACCAACCAACCAAAAACCCTTACTAAACACATCTTGTTACTGCGATGTGTGCTGGGGTGGGGGCGCTTGCACAGCATCCGCAGGGCAGCAGAGGGCAGCTCTGGAGAGCTGGTCTCTCCACCCACCTTTACCTGGTCCCGAGGATTGAAAAAGTGCCTTGACCCACTGAACCACCTCCTCATCCTCCCAAATGTGTAGTTTTTGAGACAGAGACTCTTGGTAAGTTGTCCAGGCTGGGTTTGAATTTAAACAGGCACTGAACTTCCCTTTTTTTGGGGTGGGGGAAGGGGGTTGTTTTTTTGTTTTTTTTGAGAAAGGGTTTCTCTGTGTAGCCTTCGCTGTCCTGGAACTTGCTCTGTAGACCAGTCTGGCCTCGAACTTGGAGATCTGCCTGCCTCTGCCTCCAAGTGCTGAGGGGACTAAAGGCGTGCGCCACCACATCCAGCCCTTGAAAGCTTTTTAAACACTTCTTTGTGAGAATGTGTGTTGGAATGTGCACACCACAGTCCACAGGGAAAGGTCAGAGGACAACTTGAGTTCTTCCAAGTCAGTTCTAGGGATTGAATTCAGGCCATAAGGCTTGGCGGCAATGAGCCATGGTGCCAGCCCAGTCCTGAGCTTTCCCACTCTCCTAGTTCAGCATCCCAAGCAGCTAGGATTAAAGGCCTGAGCCACTAGGTCTCACTTGTTTTGTTTACACTGGGTCTATGATGTCCAGGTTGGTCTTGAACTCCTAGACTCGAGTGGTCCTGATGCTCAGCTTCTGAAACAGCGGAGCCACAGGAATGCCCACTATTGCCCAGGTAATTTATAGCCACCTTTTAATCCTAGGGTTGGCCAGCTGTCTGTTTATCTAACCTCATCTCGGCCAAGTATTAAATATGTTCATTCTCAAAGCAAGCAGTTGAGAGCAATACTAAATCACCATTTTATAAAGAAGAAACCAAAGTCTCAGGAATGGCTTCGAGCTCACACAGCTGGTGAGGCACCAGAGACATGCATGGCCTCCTTGCTTCTCAAAACTCTGTTCCAAATTCTGTTCTGCACAGCAGCTGCTGAACTCACCATCCACTCACAACATCTTTATCGATTTTTACTGGTTTTTGGTTTGTTTTGAGAAAAAGTCTCACTGTGTAGCCCTGGCTGTCCTGGAACTTGCTATGTAGACCAGGCTGGCCTCAAATCACAGAGACCCACCTGCCTCTCATGCCAAGTGCTGGGATCTAAGGTGTATGCCACTGCCCAGCCACGTGTGCCAACTTCCGATTAAGAGCTTTGGTCAGGCCCCCTATTCCATTAACCCAGCACAAACCCTTCCAACTGGTCTGTCAATGAAAACTAACAGTTTCTTTATTCCTGGACTTAGAGTTCCTGTTAGGCTCAGGCTGGCATGGCATGACGGATGGCATGACGGAGGACCTGCCACTTGGGTACACACAGTAGACAGCATTCACACAAGGACTCTCGTCAATTTTTTTTTTTGTTGTTGTTGTTTTTTTTTTTTTTTTTTTTTTTTTTCGAGACAGGGCTTCTCTGTGTAGCTTTTGAGCCTGTCCCTGGATCTCACTCTGTAGACCAGGCTGGACTTGAACTCACGAAAGATTCACCTGGCTCTGCTCCCGAGTGCTGGGATTAAAAGTCTTGTCATTTTTTGAGACATAATTTTTCATAATTTGTCTTTTTATAATTTCATTATTTTTGAGACAGGGACTCTTGCTAAGTTAACCAGGCTGGGTATGAATCTAAACAGACATTGTCCTTTTTTTGTTTGTTTGTTTGTTTGTTTGTTTTTTTGAGAGAGGATCTCACTATATAGCTCTGGCTGTTCTGGAACTCACTATGTAGACCAGGCCGACCTTGAACTCAGAGATCTGCCTGCCTTTGCCTCCTGAGTGCTGGGATTAAAAGCATGTGTCACTATACCAGGCTTCCTTTTCTTTAAAAATGACAGGATCTCACCAAAAATCCCTCGCTTGCCTGGAATGCACTCACTGGGTAAAGGGATTAATAACAGTCTAAAGACCTGACTTCAGTCCCTAGCAAAACAATAATATATGGAAGGAGTCCCTCAAGTTGTCCTTTAACCCCTAGAGAGGCACACTCGTGCACACTAAATAAACACAATAAAGGAAATACCCACTGAAATTCACAAAAGAGCAGCATGAGAGGATTACAATGCCCCATGTTTGAATCATGCTTTACCACATGACTCTTGCTTCCGAACCCCACCTACCATCACACGGTGCCGTTTTCTTCTTTGCAAGGGGAGAATTATTGCCTCATCCACTCACAAAGCTGCCACAGGGAACTGGCACTCAGCACACACTGAGGACCACAGGAGGCCACAGGTGATGTGACTGAGCCTCACTGCGGGACAGATGGCAGAGAGCAAATGAAACATAAGCTCTGTGAGACCACTGACACACGGACAGACATGGGCATGGGGCTTAAGCTGGGGTGACAGGATGCCAGACAGTCAGGTCTGAAGAAAGAGGAGCAAAGCAATATGCTGGGAAAACACTGACACAGAGAACACTAAGCTCAAAGGTTTGGGAATGATAGTACTGAGCTCTGCAGCCTCAAGAACATCAAGAGAGCCAGAGCAGAGGGACAGGCCACACCTATGATTCCAGCACTGAAGGGCAGAGCTCTGTCAGTCTGACCTGCACAGAGATCCCGTCTCAATACCTACCACCTCTCCCCAAAAGGCAGGCAGTGGCTGGGATAGAGAATGCAAGGGTCAACAGCAAGAACCCACAAGCTACAAGAGAACCAATATTCCAGGAGCCTGTAGTCAATGCTCAGTAAGGGTTGCTCCAAGACTCTTTTAGTTAAGTTTTAAATTTTTAATTTTAAGTGTTTATTTGTATGTCTGTGTGTGTTGTGCATGAGTGCAGTGCCCATGGGGGTCAGGTGAGGGTGTGAGCCCTAGGAGCTATTGTTACAGAAGGTTGTGAACTGCCTGGCATAGAGCAGGTGGGAGGAACAGAACCCAGGTCTTCTGCAAGAGCTGTATGCACTCTTCAACACTGGGCAACCTCTCCAGTTCCATGATTTTCTCCATTTAAAAATGTATTATCACTGTATACATGATGTGCGTGTACCTGCCGCCACAGCCCTGAAGAGGAGTCAGCTTCTCTCCTACCTTCATGTGGGTCTCAGGGGAATTGAACTCTGGTTGGCAAGCTTGTGTAGAAGTCATCCTGCCAGCTCAAACACAGAGGTGGCTAAACAGTGGAGACAGTCTGCAATCCCAGAACTAAGAAAGCTGAGGCAGGAGAATGATCCAGTAGGTTTAAGGCTACGTCACAGAGACTCTGTCTTAACCTTCTCAGCATCCAAGAGGCGGAGGCAAGAGGATCACTGCAGTGAGTTTGGGCTTAGCCTGGCTATGTAGCTAGGAAGTTTCAGAACAGCCTGAGTTACACAGTTTATCTCAGTTCTTCCCACTTCCTACCCATATGGTGGTGTGGTAGCACATGCTTGTAGCCTCAGTACTCAGAAAGTGGAGGCAGGAGGATCACTGTAATGGGTTCCAGGCTAGCCTGAACTACATACTGAAGGTGCTGGACAGCCTGAGTTACAGCGTGAGACTCTGATTACCGACCCACTCACACCACACCAAAACAAAAATATTGTGTATGGTGTTATGGTAGAGCGCACACCTGCCACACCAGCACTCGGGAAGTGGAGGCAGGAGGGGTCAGAAGTTCCAAGCCATCCTCTGATAGATAGTAAGTTCGAGGCCAGCCTGGGTTATGAGAGTCCCTATCTCAAAAATACAGAAAGGAATAAAAAAGAATGGCCAGGGTCTCCCCAGTTCCCTATGGCCTACCTTCCAGGTCCACCCCGTGGCGCTGGGCCAGGTGAAGAACATTGTCCCCGACTCTGCCCGTCACGGGGATCCGCCGACCAGCGCGGTCCACGAAGACCACGTTGACCCTGGGGACAGACAGGGTGCAGGCGCTGAGCCGAGGCCGGCCTGCGGCCGAGTGGCAGGGCGGGGCAGGGCGTGGCGTGCGAGCACTCACGCGTCCCGGGGCAGCTCCGGGCCGTCCGCCTCGTCCTCGCCTGCGCGCCCGCTCTCCTGGAAAACACAGGGGGTGAGGGGCTGCGGCCTCGCTGCCAGCCGCGGCCCTGCCCGGCCCGAGGTACCTGTCGTCCCGAGAGTCCTGGACGTCAATGCCGCGTGCCCAGCCCAGGTACCCCAGGAACCCCCGGCGGCCCCGCAACAGGACCCGGGCACTCACGCCGCGGGCCATGGAGGCGGCCATGCTAGGCCACGTGACCGGAAGACCGAGCATGCTCAGTGCGTAGGCTGGACTGTAATCGCAGTGTTTGAACGCCGAGGTCAGAGGTGATGTACCAGAATTCAACCCGACTTCCGGCCTGGCCCTCTGGTTGGAGCCGGACGCGCCCCAAACCCCCGCCTTGGGCCTTATTGTATGTGTTCTGCTCTTATGAATGAGCACCAAGTGAGTGCCTGTGGCGCCCAGAAGACTGAGGCTGTGTGGATGATGGGAGCCGAACTCTGATGCTCTGCAAGAGCAATAGTGACCAAGCTGATCCCTTTTTGAGACAGGGGAACCTAACTCCAATCCTCTGCAAGAGCAATAGGGTCCAAGCTGATCCCTTTCTGACACAGGGTTTCACGCTGTAGACCAGGCTGGCCTTGAATTTAGAGATCATTTGCCTCTGCTGGAACTGAGGGCTATGTGCCAGCATGCCCTGGCTTTAAACAATTTTTTTGTTGTTGTTTGAAACAGGTTCTCTCCACATACACCGAACCATTCTAGAATCTGCTATGCAGACCAGGCTGGCCTGGAACTTGGATTTTCCTACCTCTGCCTCTCAAGTGCTGGGATTAAAAGCCAGTGCCACTACACTCAATTTAAATTTCAAGGACTGTGTGCGCCCTCTCTCGTATCCATGACACATGCAGGTCAGAGGACAACTTGTGAGTCAGTTCTCTCCTATCATTTGGGCCCCAGGGATAAAACTGAAGTGGTCAGGCTTGGTGCTAAGTGTCGTTAATATAATACCCAGCTATCTTGCTTGGCCCACGGTTTATCTCAAGAACCAGCCAGTTCTGATTTTTTTTTTTTTTTAAAAACCGTTTACTTACAAACTTTAATTCAGCAAAGGTCTGTGTGGGAGGAAGGGGTGAGGGGATACCCCCCTGGAGTGGGTTTGGGCCATCAGGTTTGGGGAGGGAGGCTGGCGGCTCAGCTGGCCAGGGACAAGAGTCCCTGGCTCCCCTCACCCGGGCAGGCTGTAGAGCTTGTCTGTGTGGGCAGAGAGGAGGCCAGCTCCAGAGATCCGGCCTGGGGATGGTGGTGGTGATCCGAGTTTGGAGGGACATGGTAGAGGCCCAGTGACCTGGGTACAATGGTCAACTTTCACAGACAGTAACAGGGACTGTTGAAGCCAGCAGAAAACACTGGTTTCTGTACCCAGGCTTTGGGCTAAGGGGTGGTTTGCCAAGACCAAGGCTTTGGCCTTCTGTCCACAGGGCAGATACCCTGGAGGAAGGACGATCCCTAGGTCAGAGCTCTTTGGTCCTGAGCCGAGCTTCCGGAGCTCGGCATCTGAGAAGCTCTGGCCTAGTAGGACCTGTGACCCAATTTAAGGCATCAGAAGGCAAGAAGACTATGGCAGGGGCTCTGGAGATACTGGGGTACTGGCCAGAGTAGGCAGGCAGGGGCATGAGACAGCTATACCTGCAGCAGATGATTGGGAAAAGAGAATAGGGTTAAGCTGTTGGAAACCAAAAGTGTGGAATGGAGGCCCAGGTAGGCCAGACCCTGAAGGAATCAAAGTTGGGGCTTTTCTGAGGTGGGGGTGGATGGGGTGAATGTGGTCATCATCTTGGTTGTTTTAAAAAATAAAAATTAGAAAAGGAAATCAAACTCAATTGTCTAAGTTTAAAAAAGGGGACTGTCCCTGATCCTCACAGGTCAGGGACACCTCCAAAGGCACTCGAAAGGCCAGAACACAGGAGTGACGAGGCAGGCGAGAAGGCCTGGAGAACTGGGCACAGGAGGCCAGGAGTTGGGGAGGGAAAGAGAGCAGGCCGGGCCCCTCTCTCCTAAGGCTGCAGGGTTTTGGCTCCAGGAGCAGGCCTGCAGGTAATGGTGTGGCCCCCAGACACCCCCACATTCCTTGAGCTCCGGCTGGTTGGTCAGCAAAGTCTTTTTCAGAGATTTCTCTATTACCCAAAGAAAGGACATAAAAAATAAAAATAAAATCCCACAAAACACAAATACCAGAAAAAACCCAAAAGCAATTTGGTGCAGGCCCTTGGAGCATCTCTGGCGCTGACCCCTTAGAAAATCCTCTTCCGCTTCAGGTAGGAGTCTGCGTAGTGGCCGCCGAGGCCCTGGGAGTGCTGGCCCACGTAGCTGCCCTCTGGGCTGGGCTCAGGCGAGGGCAGCAGGTGGGAAAAACTGCGTTTCTGGCCGCCCAGTGGGGTCTGGAGACAGATGGCAGGGGAGGCTGGGTCAGGGGCCTGCCAGGGGCCAGGGCTCCCCAGCCCTGTGCCCCCCCTCCCCTTGCCCGTACCTTTAGCAGGTGGCTGTGACCATTGGGCCCAGGGCCAAGGCCCAGGAGCCCTTCACTGGAGCCCATCGGGGAGGAACCAACGGCCTGTGGAAACGAAAGAGGTGGAAACGCAAGTCACCCCTGGAGGAAATCTTGAGTGTCCAATTCTAGCCTTGTGCCTGCCACCCGGACCTATGAGGCCTGGTGGTAATTGAGCTGTTTCTCCTGTGTCTGTCCTCTGGGAATAAGACCACCTACAATAGTTGAACTTGAGATGAAGGCAAGCTCAACAGTGTTATGCTCCACACACACAGCAGGAAACCAGAGTGGGCCATGGCCACTGCAGCATGAGCAAGATGAACTCTGCCACCAATGGAGCCATATCTGAGGCACCCTGGATGACAAAGCCCGACAGACAGACATGGATACACAGGGCCCAGTCCTGGGTGGGGAAGGCTCCTCACCTTGTTGAGGTGGCTCTGCTTGAGGCCAGCCTGTAGGCCACTGGTGAAGTAGGAGGTGGGTGAACCGGAATAAAAATGAGAGAGGGGTCCCCCACTGCCTCCACCACTCCGAGGCTCACTGAAGTTGCTAGGTGGCGGGGACATCTGCGGAGAAAAGTTCAGCCGAGTGAGGAAGGTACGGTAGAAACCCTCCCCACCACGACTCAGCTTGCTCATGGTGATCTTCTGGGGACCTCTGGGAGCCACAGTCACTTTATCAAACTCAGGATGGACCACAGAGGGATGAGCTGTGTGGCTCAGGCAGAGACCCTGAGCCCAGTGACCTTCACTTCAACAGACCTGTGTGTGTGGCCATGGGGTAAGCTCCCAGGGAAGCACCCACTGCCCCTAGGGGGAGAAATAAATGCTTGAGCCTAGAATTTTGAATTGGGCAACACAAGATTGCCTCACAAGTTTGTGGAAGCCAGGCAGTGGTGGCACACGCCTTTAATTCCAGCACTCTGGAGGCAGAGACAGGTGGATCTCTGAGTTTGAGGCTAACCTGGTCTACAGAGCAAGGTCTACAGCCACAGCTACACAGAGAGACTCTGACTCAAAAACAAAAACAAGGGCTGGAGAGATGGCTCAGGTTAAGAGCACTGCTTGTTCTTCCAAAGGTCCTGAGTTCAATTCCCAGCAACCACATGGTGGCTCACAACCATCTGTAATGAGATCTTCTGGCCTGCAGGTATACATGCAGACAGAACACTGTATACATAGTAAATAAATAAATCTTAAAAAAAAAAAAAAAAAAAAAAAAACCAACCAAAGAACCAACCAAGACAAAGAACAAACGTTTGTGGAGTCCGGTTCTGAAGAGACGGCACTTCTCGTTACACAGCTGGTGCTGACTGCCACATCCACTCTGGCGCACAGCTAGTACCATGGCGGCTTGGCTCTTACCTTGTGCCGGCTGGGTCCATGGGGCCCTAGGGCTGGCTCCCGAGGGTGGGAGAAGAGCCGTCGAGGTCCCACATCCTAAATCAAAGGGGCAAAAGCATGGGGGGTTGGTGTTTGCCACCCTTACCCTGGGTCAGTCCACACAGTTAACACTAGGGATTCATGACCACACGTGGGCCTGCAGGGGCTTCAGCGGGCGAGCACAGCTGAGGCCAGAGCAGGTGAAGGAATGCCCTGTCCCAGAGGCAGCTGTGCCTGCCTGGGCTCCCGGGATGGGTGCTGTGAAATGACATGTGTCGTGCTCAAAATGGGAAAGACACAGACAGACAAGATGCTAAGCCCTTTCTCTAGGGAGAAAGCCTGCCTTGGGACTTAGGCTAAGCTAAGTCCCCGCCCAGCAAGCATGTATGAAAGGCTGGCTTCCATCCCCAGTGCCGTATAGACTGGGTGTGATAGTAAAGGCTGAGATCCCAGCGCTCAGGTAGAGGGAAGAGGAGAAGACATTCAGAGTCATTCTCAGTTACACAGTGAGGGAGGCCAGCCTGGGCTACATGAGGCCTTGTCTCAAAAAATCAAAACCCAAGTAAAAAATCAACAGGGACTAAAGTCTGAAAGAGACAGACATGGACAGGAGACTTAAGAACAGGGAGCATGTTGGCGACAAGCCCCTGACTGCCCACCTGATACTAGAGAAGACAGGTGACCGAGCGTCCTTTGCCAGAGTGCCTGGAACCAACCGGGAGTGTTTCTGACTGAGTTGTCGTGGATTTTGGAATGCCACATAAAGGAGACATTGGGGGACGGGGGGGACGGGGGGGACAGGTGTGTGTGTGTGTGTGTTCCTAAGTCCAACGAGAAAGTCACCAGCGTCTCAGGTACAATTCACACATATTTTATACTATTAAAAAAAAAATTTTTGTTGTTTTTGTTTTTTTGAGACAGGGTTTCTCTGTATAGTCCTGGCTGTCCCAGAACTTGCTTTGCAGACCAGGCTGGCCTCAAACTCACAGAGATCTACCTGCCTCTGCCTCCCAAGTGCTGCATTAAAGGCATGCGCCACCATTAGCTGGCAGGAAGTTTTAATGACACTGTTTGTGCCTGTGTGTGTCCCCATGTGTAGGTGAGGGGACAGACGAGGGAGTCCCATGTGGGACTGACCAAGAACTCAGGCCTTCAGGACTGAGATAAGCATCTTCGACAGCTGAGAATCTCACCAGCCCACACCGTTAATTGTCTGTTTTTGAGGGTCTCATGTAACCAGGGCCAGCTCTGAACTCCTGCTTGTCCTGCCTCCACCTCCCAGTGCTGGCACAGCACCCAGGTGACAGTGTGTGCCTGCTTTGTCC